TTCCCCTTCTGTACAACAGGGGTAACAAGAGCCCCCACAATTAAGAGAGCCCGCACCGGGATCAGTGTGAAAGCACTTGCAAACATGTTGAAGGTGGTCAAACAGCACCGGATCCCATGGGGCCACAGCACACGGCAGCCAGCATTTTACATACAGGCACAGAACCTCCCCAGCAACTCTATCCGGTCGATGCTATTATTAGCCCCACTTTGCAGACAGGGGAACTGAGGCTCAGACAGGTTCCACAACTGCTTTGCCCAACGGCAAATGCCGTTTGCTCCTAACAGTCTGTGTTTTGCCATCATTCTTCAAGCACTTCCTACACACCAGGTACCCTACCCTCAAGTGCTGGATGGGAAATGAAACCGGGCTCTCACTCCTCTGGGGTGACAGTCATTCCTGGGAGGCCAGGGTGGTGCCCAGGGCTAAGGGCCAGCTGGGGGAGCTGATCCAGCCCCTTGGCCTCCAGGAGCTGTGGCTCCGGCAGCTTGACCACCTGATGTGGCAGCGGGATGTGGGGGATCCCCAAGGCTGGTGAATGGCTGGGACCCAGGTCCTCATTGGTGTCAGATACTGGATGTTGAGCTGGGTCTTCCTGCTGTCTCCTTACGGGGAATGAGAGCTGCACGAGGTGTCCCTCCTCATCTCTCTGACCCACAGCCAGCTGGCAAACCTCTGCTGCTCTTGCTGGGGGCTGCGGATCCTGTGCCCCCTCCCCAAAGGGTCCAGGTGCCCCTGCAACCAGTGTCTTTCTGGGGAGTGGCCTCATATGAGCTTCTGTGGCCAGAAGGCACCTGTTGTGGGCTGCAGGCCTGCAGTTTTCAGCCACCTTCAGGGCCCCAGGTTTCACGTTCACCCGTGTGGTCCTCTCAGGGCCTTCTCTGAGCTGGAGGAAGATCCTAGCTGAGAGCCCCTGGTCCCTCGCTGCTTCTGCTGATGCAGAGAATGTATCTCCTGAGTCAGGCTTGGCCCCTGCCCGAGTGGCTGGCTGTGTGAGCCACATAAATCTTGGGACGATACTGAAGATGCCAACTATCTTAGTCCATTTGGGCTGTTGTAACAAAAATACCGTAAGCTGGGTGGCTTATAACAACAAGTATTTATTTCTCACAGATCTAGAGGCTGGAAGTCCAAGATCAGGGTGCCTGCGTGGTCAGGTTGTGGTCAAGGCCCTCCTCCTGGTTGCAGACTGCCAGCTTCTCACTGTGTCCTCCCATGGTGGAAAGGGCAGGGAGCTTTCTCAGGCAGCTTCTTTGGGGTGGGGGACCTGGGTGTGCTTCTAGGTTGTTTCCTTCCCACCCACTCTGGGTGGGACAGAGTGAGGCGTTTTCGCCCAAAGGTTGGAGTGGGTGGGTTGGACAGACATGCTGTTCGGACAAGGAGTGAGCAACTGCCAGGAGGCAGCTGACTGACAAGACCCCAAGGCAGCCCCAACATCAGGGACCTAGCAACAGGCTGGGCGTGGAGCCTCTGGGGGAGGGGTACCCAGCCTGGAAGGGTTGAAAGACACTGGAGCCTGGGGCTGTGGCTCACTAGTGTTCAAAATCAGCGTTCGAGCTGACCCCCTTCCCACCTTTTGCTCACCCTGCTCAGCCGCCAGGTTGGGACAAGGGAGGTATGCGGGAGTCAGTTCAGGGAAGGTGAGTGTCTGTCCATTAGAGGCAGCCACACCACACCTGTGTACTCTGGCAGCCAGAGTCACCTGTATGGGGCTGGCTGAGGGTAGGCCTGGGGAGAGTGGAGGGTAAGAAGAGACCATAGCTTCTCTGGTGAAAACCAAAGGTGCTTAAGCGGGCTAGGTGCTGCAGCCAGCAAGACCAGGACAGATCTGACGGGGCGCCTGGACCCCCAGGCAGGGGAGGCCAGGAGCCATGGCAGACACCTGTCAGGTGAGGCCTGCCTCTATGCAAGGGAGTGGGCTGCAGCCCTGAACAGCTGGGGCCTGGGGCTGGACATCTAAGGGAGAGAGGGGTCAGGGCAGAGTAGCTCCGCAGTGGCTTCTTCAAGAAAGACCGCCTTTTCCAGGCAAGGGCTTGCCAGGGCGCAGGTGTCTGCCAGCTCCTAGCGCTGCTGTCGTCTAATGAAATTCCAGCGGGTTCTGCCCTGGGAGGGACAGGGCCGGCCTTGGCTCAGGTACCAGGATGCTCGGAGAAGGGCCCAGCCACCACCTACCCTGAAGTCTGCAGCTGTGGGGATTCTGGGGTGAGGACCAGAGCCCCCCTGCCCCTGGAAGTGGGTGGGGAGGGGGGGCTCTGGACACAGGCTACAGGCCAGGCCCAGGAGTCTCGGAGGCTGGTCCTTACAGGAGCTGGACCTGGGGACAATGGTCCCACAGCCTCCTGGCAAATGCACTGGCTGCTGAAGCCATTCAACTCTTCGGGCCTCGATCTGGCCAGGCTTGACAAAAGTCTGAGGAACAGTCTGTACCCCAAAGCCAATGCTAGGAACAGGGGTGTCTTTAGCCCTCTATTTACCTTGGTTTACAACATTCAAGAATCCCCTAAACCTTCCAGTCTCTTCCAGCAACTGCCCGACCCAGATTTTCCCCCAGGAGAGGGCATGTAGGTCACTCTCGGAATCCCCAGCTAGTAGTGCCACCACAGGCTTAGGGTCGTGGTCTCTGACCCCAGTGTGGCCCTGGGAGAGGAGAGGGCAATGGAGAAGCAGCAGCAAAGGGAAGAGAGGATGAAGCCCTGCAGACCACAGGTCCCAACGCCCCAGCTCCTGGCCATCTAAGATGACAATTCATAATGCATGGCTACCCAGTTCCAGCTTGGTCCGTAAGTGCTTCCTGCGCGGAGATGCCATTCCTACACATTAGGAACTGCTCAAGGGTGGGTCTGTGACTGGCAGTTCTTTGGTCCTCCACTCCAGAGAGTGGCAGGTGGGTCCGGACGCTCTTCACCAGTACCTGGATCACAGGCTGCGGGGCACTCCCCACCACCAGAAGCCCCCTGCTTGCCTGTCAGTATGAAAGAGGAGGAGGCAGCTGGCCTGGGCATGGGCTGGGCTCCTACCCCACCTTCTGCCAGGACCTGGCTCCCCACAGTTCTCCCTTGGCCTGGCCAAGGAGGGAGGGAAGAGCAGGTGGGGAACTGGCTGAGAGGTGTAACTTGAGCCGGGAGGAATTCCCTGCCCTTCCTCCAAGCTTTTATTAAAGTAGGGCGGGGAAGGGCAGGCTTCCATTGGAAAAATCTCCCAGGCAGCAGGGGGGGAGGTGGGGAAGCCACTGGGGGCTGGGAGGGAGCATCGGCCCAAATGCAAATACACACCGTGAGCAGGCCCGCAGCCCGGCACGGGGAGGCTGCAGCCCAGCCCAAGGGCACCAAGGCCTGAGCCTACCCTGGCCGGCACCGAGGCCCGAGGCGGTCTTCCCCAACCCCCGCCCCCGCCCCCTCTTCTCTCCTAGAACGGGCAAGGAGCGGGGTCTTAGAAGTTGGGAAAGAGTAGACACCGCTTTGGAGTAACGGAGCTGGTGCTCTCACCGCCCCTGCTCGGAAGACTCCATGGTGCCGGGGGCACTGGCTAGACCCAGCTCTGTGCCAGGAGGCCATGCCCGATCACCCAAGCGACAGACCCACAGAGGGGGCCCCACAGGGACATCATGAGGGCTCCCGGTGAAAAAATGTGCGGAGTGTGTCCCCTGTGCACCGGGCCTCGGCGCAGAAGCTCTTACGAGGAGACCGAGTCTCTCTTGGACCCCTCCTGGCCGGGGCGCGGCTTCCGTGCAAGAGCCCAAGAAAGTCACCAGAGCTCCCCTGTGACCCGAGTCTATGTCGGAGGGTCGCACCCCTTCCCCCTATCCCGTCCCGCCGCGCGTGGCTCAGGGTCACCCAGACCAGGTGTTGCCTAGGCAGGGGAGCTGCCTGCTCAGGTCGTGGTTCCTCCAGGGCAGCCCCCACCCCGCTCGTAAAGAATGTCACAGCGCCCGCAGGGCTCTCGAGGAATCGGCCGCCCGGCGGGAGCTCGGGCGGATCAGTGCCTAGGTCAGGGCTACAGGGACAGAGAGTGGGCGCCAGCCCTACGCCTTCCGCGGTTTGGCAAGGGGGAGAGCTGGCGAAGGGCAGCCTGCCTGGCCCCTCTCACCGGCCCCCCCCTCCCCTAGCGCAGGGGGGCTCGTCTCCGCGTCCTCCACCTCCTGCCTCGGGCTGCAGACGTGTCTCCTTCCCCAGTCCCCCAGGCGAGGTCCTTACCTCGGCATTGACTTCTGCGTCCCCCGCCGCTGCGCCGCGGCCCAGGCAGCCCAGAAGCAGCAGGAACAGCGGCAGCACTCGCGGCCGCGCCGCCGCCTCCCGGTCGCCGAGGAGGCTGCCTGCCCAGGACGGCCGTCCGGGTGCGCTCGGTTCGCTGACCATGCTCTCGGCGCCCAGCGGGGTCCGGAGCGCCGCAGGCGGGGCTCCCGGGCTCGCCGGCGCTGGGTCCCCGCACGAGGCTTGGAAACTTGCGACGCTCCCTGGCTCCCCGCCCGGCGGGCGTGCGGCAGACCTCCCGGTCTCTGTCCCCGCCGGAGCCGCTTAGGTCCCCTCGGCAAATTCCCACGCCCGAGGAGAAGCGGGCAGGGGAGGTTCGGTCACGCGGAACCGGCCCACGGGAGAGAGGGCCGGCCGGAGCCGCCGGCTGCCGGGTCCCGCAGCCTGGGCGCCCGGGGCCCGGCTCCCGAGAGCAAGCGCAACTCCTGAGCCTTTGTCTGGCTCAGCGCTCCGGCCGCCCGGTCCCGCGGCGCCCCCTGCGCGCCCAGCTCCCTCTGTCCATGCCCGGGGCCGGGCGCTGCCCTGAGCGCGCGCCTCCCGCCCGGGGACTCTGCTCGCCCCGCGCCCAACCGGGCCCGGGTCCCCGCGCAGTCCCGGGAGGAGGCGCAGGGAGCCGGTCAGAGCGAGCGAGCGAGCGAGCGAGCGAGCCAGGGAGCCGGCGCCCGTCGTCCCCAGCGAGTTCAGCGCAGCTCCGGGCGCTCCCAGCCCTCCGCCCGCGCCGCAGTCGCCGCCGCTCTTAAAGGGCCAGCGCTCCCTCCGCGCGCGGCCGGGCGAGGGGCGGGGGCCGGGGGCGGTATCTTAGGCGGAGGCTTCTTGGTAGCAGGTGCCGGCGGCGGAGCCCGGCAGGCGGCCCTTTCACTCTTTCCAATCGGCGGGAATCCTCCCTAGCCCACCTCCTCCACTCGGATCCACGCTTTGGGAGAGTGGGGTTGATCCCCAAAGTGACCTCTCCCGCCCTCCACAGAGAGAGGAAGGAGAAACGAAGACTCCTCTTTCCCCTACCTGGTAGGTGGGTGGGGATACTGAGGCAGCGGTGGGCAGAAAGGCTGGGGGAGGAAGGATCCAAGTGCTCTGTTCCAGACTGACACAGAAGAAAGGTAAACAAAGTCTAGAGATGTGTTGTTTTCCCAAAAGCCCGTCAAGTGTGGCGCCCTTCCAGTGGCTTCCCTCAGCGGTGCAGGGAGGGGTCGGTGTGCCGTGTGTGCCTGAAGTAGGACCACCCGCAGGCTTAGGGCGCGCGGCTGCAGACAAGCCACCGTTCACCTGCCTCTCGAAGGTGGACGCCTCACTTAGCTTTTCTGAGCCCCCGTGGCCTCCTCTGGGCCATGGGGCGAAAAGTTGAAGGTGAGGGTTAGCTGTGCGTCCGGTGCCTGGCCTACCTAGCACGCACTAGGTATCAAAGGTGAGGGCACTATTTTGTGCAAGCGAAATGTAACAATTCGGCCGACAAGGTGCTGGGCGCATAGGCAAAAACGTCCCGCCGAGTGGAGTTTAAAAGTGCTAGACTGATTTCTCTTCCAGGATCAGCTTGAGATCCCGTGGGTGTGGAGGCAGAAGGTTTGAGGTGGGGGGGCCCCAGGGCTGTGTGCCCAGACCAAGGGTAGTCCTGGCCCAGTAGATTGGGGGCAGAGGGGGCTGGATGTGAAGGCCAAGGCGCCAGGAGGGCAGGAGGGCGGAGACCTTCCCTCAGGTGCCCCACCTCCCAGCCCAGGAAATGGGAGCTTCCTCACCAGAGGGAGATTTCTCCTGAAACCTCCCCCACTGGCCTTACCTCCCGGAAATGGGCAGTGGTCAGGCAGAGCTTTAGAAATCGACCTGTTCACTGATTAGCCAGGTGAGAAGAAAGAATTAGCCAGGTAAAGGGAACAGACAGAGGAAAGTAGCAAAGATGGATGTCACTTCAAAACAACACAAAACTGTTGCAATACGGGAATGGAGATTCCGCATAGAACTGGGCCTGATTCCCAATACAACCAGTAACAGGTGGGGATTTACAGCTCAGGAGCAAGGGGGTCGGGTGTGAGTGCATGGAAAATGACTTAAGAGGAGACAGCCTGTCGGGGCTGAAGGCAGGTGAGGGTGATCAGATATCACCTGGGGGCAGTTCGGCTCTGGAGATGAACCAGATATATATATATATATATATATATCAAGGGTGGGGAATTCTCACTAATCTGACTTAGCAAGTTTTCTTGCTAAAACTGGACCCTGCAGGAAGCACAGGCGTGGGCCTTGCTGGGGAGAGGGCTCCAGGGAGCCAGACTAAAGGTCTGTCCAGCGAATAATCTTTGCCAGTCTCCCCTCTTGTTCAAGGGCAAAAGAGCTGTTCTTTTTTGCTCTGAACAACACAAATCCATTTCCCACTTGGTTGCCTTGATTCCTTTAGAACCAGCCGAACCATCTGTTGAGACTTGGTGTTGGTGGATAATTGCTATACTATGCAATGCATGAGGCATTTAATGAGAAAGATACTTTGAAGATAAACGGAAAAACGAAGATAAGAGGCTGAATCGACCTGTGTGTCCAGCTTTGTCGGCCTTTGTGGGTTGACCAGAAGTCCATGACCTGCGGTCCTTCCCCAGCAGTGTGAGCATGGTGACGGCGGTGATGTGCACGTTTCTCCATTCACCTCTTGGACCATCCTGGCCACAGCAAAGGTGGCAGGTAGCTTGTGGGGGACAGAGAGGCAGCAGTTGCTTCCGATCACTGCCAATGCCCCCTTCTTCAGCCAGGGTCACACAGAGGGTGATGCCATTATGCAGAATAATGCACTGGATTTCTCCTAGTTGGTAAGTCACAAATTCTAAGCCAGTAGTGATAGTCACTACCATCTGTACCATCTGGTACAGAAGTCACTACCTTTGTACCAGAAGCACAGGGGACTCATGCCAGCAGCTGGTACCCCAGTCAGCCATGGACCCCAGACAGCAGAACTTCTCCGTACATTGTTATTGCCCCAGAACATCGCTATAGTTAAAACCGAGAGACATACAGCACAGAAAATTCTGTGTTTCTGTAACGTACCCAAGTCATGGACCTCCCCAGAGGCACCGTGGACATCAGCGTAAATGTTAACCATCTCTCTGCATGTATACAAGCCCAGGGAAGAGCAAAGAACACAACACGGTTACATGGGCTGATTTGACATTTCGCAGGGCTCGGAGTTCCAGAAGTTCGTGGTGATCTGTAATGGCATATCCGGCCTGGAGCGCCTCATCCTCCCTCCAGAGGTAGGAGCCCTCGACATGAAGGGTCAGGTCGACTTGGGGGAGGGGTTTTTCTGACAAAGCCAACCTAGGACAGGAAAATGATCTGGGGCTAATGACACAAGCGGGGGCGGGGGGGGGCGTGCCGTCGGTGGATAAGGGAAGGCAGGGTTGAGACTGTGACAGTGACAAATGGCGATGGCAGAGGGAGAAAGGAGCAATATTTCATAGGAAGTAAGTGGAGACGCAGAGAAGTGCTGCATAATTTCATTAAGCGATGGTGTCTGTGTAGCCTGAGGGATGCGTGGGGCAAGCGGATGACCTAATGCTAACTCAGAGGTAGCTTGGACGCGTCTGGTGGTTGCAGCCATGGCTCACAGGGGGATTTGCCTTGGCCACCGGGTCAAAGGCCAAACTGTAACTTCCCAGAGGCCTTTGGTGTCTGGTATGCTCCTGGGATGACATTCCAGCAGCTCCACCCTCTGGTTCATGCACAGGCAAGGAAAAAGGGAGGGAGTCGCCTGGAGGGCCGAGGCTGGGAGGGGAAAGGAGGGAGCCTGCGGGGTTTTTGAGAGCGTGGTTGGAGAGGATGCTCTCCGGGTCATGGCGTAAGGAGCGAAGCAGCCAAAGAGAAATGAGGTCCCCACGAAACCTCAACAACATTTCAGGTGTTGTTTTCCATCAGGGGGAGGAGACTGTCGAAATGTACAGGCTCTGTCTATGGAGACAGGTTCATCTGCCGCTGGAATATTGTGACCCAGATACCAGACACAGAGAGAACATAAATTTTGTCTCTAGCCACCTTGGGGCCCTTTCTCACTCGTGGCTGACGAAGGCACGCAGTGTCCAGAGCCGTTGTCATAACTGTGAGGATGTTGGAGGAGGTTATCCACAAACTGGATTAAAAGCAGTCTCCTGGGAGTGTTAAGTCCCTCCAATGGGCAGTTAGGGTGCGCAAGAAGTGTAGTAAGTCAGGGCCTCCGTAAATCCTTCGGGCATAACTGGGACTATCACCCATGTAGTTGTTGAGAGTCCCAGGGGAAGGCAAACAAATATTGGGGTTCCTTGAGAAGCGGGACCCTAAACCAGGCGGAACACAGGGCAAGGACTGTGGGACGCTGGACGGGGAAGGAACAGCAGCCAGACATGTGAGGACTAGGCACCGAGGCAAATCTGGGTTTAACGATTTTATTGATAGATCTCAAAATTTTGGACTGACCCATGTCCTTGCCTGTTTGGTTGTTTGACGGCCAAAGGAGAGTAGTTCATGGGCTCCAAGTGGGGACCAGAAATGGTCTTTGTTTTTATTCAAACATTTCATTTATTTATTTTTAGAGAGAGGGGCAGGGAGGGAGAAGGAGGGAGAGAAACATTAATGTGTGGTTGCCTCTTGTGTGCCCCCTATTGGGGACTTGGCCTGCAACACAGGCATGTACCCTGACTGAGAATTGAACCAGTGATACCTTGGTTCGCAGGCCTTAGCTCAATCCACTGAGCCACACCAGCCAGGGCAAGATCTCCTGGCTTTGAATGACACTGAGGAATCATGGGGAGGGGCAAGCAGACTGGAGACAAAGGTCAAGGTCATTTAGGTCATGCTGGTTGTGGCCGGGACCCAGATCTGAGTCACGGCACTAAAAACTGTTAAAGAGAACCAGAGTTGGACAGGTGTTACAGTGGTCAAGTGGATTTTACTCAAAAAACTATTGCAGTAGGGGGACACCCCCGAATGTATAGAAGGGGGTTGAATTCCAAGTAGGACCAGAACAGGTGGGGATTCACAGCGGAGCAAATTGGGGGCGGGGGAGCCTTGGTGAACGGAGAGTCACCCACACGAGACATCACCTCCAGCGGGATTCTGGTGGAAGGCAGACCAGGGTGGTCAGATACCACCTGGGGGGCCGTGGGGGTGGGGAGGTGGATCAGATACTCAGCCTGACGTAGCGGGGTTCTAGATAAGGCTGGATTCTAGGAGGAAGTACATGGATGGGCCTTGCAGGGTGCAGGGCGCAGGGGAGCCTGGCTAAAGTCTGGTCCAACAACCCGTGTCAGCACGCACGGTGGGTGGGCATGACCCGGTGTTTGGCGGAGGGTCCTCAAGGACCGGGAGCCGGGGCTTGGAGAAAAGGTTGGGGCGGTTTCATCGATTTCCACTGGCAAACTCGCTCTGCGTGGTCCCTCCTTTGGGAGATGGGTTTCTAAAACTTTGGCTTTGACATTTCCTTTTGGGGTGTGTACAGGAGACTTCAGAAATAGACAACAGGGTTGTTTCCTTTTAACTGAACGCCTGGCCAGCTGTCACACTGTCTATTCCCAACCAGCCAAGTTTTTAAGACGTCTGAGTTTAGGGTGCTGCCTGGTAGAAAGAGGTGCCTGGGAACCGTGGGCCGTGCTGTCGGAGGCTGGCGGTGAGACTAGTTCGGCCCTCGTTTTCCTCCTGGGAGGAGCTTCCTCTCCCGGGGTACATCCTATCCATGTGAAGGAGACGGCATCCCTGTGGCCAGACCCTGACTGGTTCTGGCTCCTACTCAGAGCTCAGGGTCCAGGGTGGGTCTGTACATCCATCCATCACAGAGACCTGTGGTTCTGCCCATCCCTGAGGGGGGCGGGAGGGACTGAAATGTGGGAAGCCCAGCCCTTCAGCCGGCCAGCTTCCTGCATCATCTCATCTAGACCCTAACCGCCCCCGCCCGCGTCTCCTTGGAGCCTGTGTGTGAGAGCCCAGCAGCACAGCTTCCTTCCGAGACCCTGGTGTGGTGTGAGGGGTCGCCCCAGCTCTCGTCCACTGCGCAGTCTTGAGCAAGTCATTTCCCCCTTCGGGTTTGTCTCCTCATCTGTCAAAGGAAGGTTCTGGGGCAGGTAGTGGCCAAGGCCCCTTGTTTGGTAAAGGAAAGGCACTGTGGATGGGAACCAGGCCCAGGACCCCTGCCCCCACCCCTGACTGCCCCCCACTGGCCACGCTCAGGCTCTTGGTACTGAGACAAGGAATAAACAAACAAGCCGAGGTAATCTCCCCCTTCCTTGGAAACAGAGCTCGGGTGGTCTGGAGGGCCGAGCGTGCGCGGAGAGCCGAGTGTGCCAGGTGGAAATGGGCCAAAGAGGCCGAGGGTGATCGTTTCCCTGCCCTGTGGGGAACATCTGAGGACACCGAGGCCAGATGTGCTGATTTTGCGCCCTCCCTGGTGTGATCACGTCCCCATCGAGGGCAAGGCTTCACTCTGGGAGTCAGACTGCCTGGGGAGGACCGGCCTGCTCTGGCTCCCTAAGACATCGCCTCCTAAGGAAGAGCCCCATTGCTTCTGCACTGTCAGCCGCACACTCGCCGCCTGGGTGCCCGCCAAGCCCCTGCCGTCCGCCCGGCCTCCGCCCCTCCCCCCAGCGAATCTCCTACTTCCTTCCTCCATCACCACCTTCCATTCTCCAGCGAGGCGCCGGTATTGATCTTGGCCCATCGCTCAGAGATGCCGCACTCCGATTCCATCCAGCCGCATCCTCCCCCTGGGTGCCTCGGGGCAGTCCTCCCAGTGGGCGGAGGGTGGTGCTGCCTCACACCCAGCCCCCCTCCCAGGGAGAGTGAACACTCAAGAGGGAGGCTGGCTGGTGTCCCTGACGAGGAAGGCCAGGTGGTCTGCGCCCACGGAACCTGCCTTGGGGGAGGCTGGCTCCCATCCTGAAACTGGAATCTGAAGGAAGTTGGCTGGCTGAGTGGTACAAAGTTGGGGATGGGGCTTCTCCTTGGCGCACCCTGCCAGTGCCCCCAACCCCCATTACAAGCACCCAGAGGCCTGGATGAGTCCGATTGGGCACAGTGCGTGGCCTGGCCCAGAGTGGGTGTCAGGATGTGCCGGCCGGATCTCTGTGTTCCTCGCACACCAGCAAGGACGCTCGGCTTCTTCGTCTCCTCCAGTGTGATCTCAAAGGCCAGGAGAACCATCAGCAGATCAGTGTGTGGGGGGGCTGGGGAACAAGGCACAGAATATGACTTCCCAGACCTTCAGAGCAGCGACTGGGAGCTTGCCTCAGCAGCAGAGAGGCAGGAGGCGGAGTGGGAGCTGGGGTGACAAGGCCCCCACCCCCACCTTTCCCTCAGGCCTGACCAAGGCAGGTTGGAGGTCAGGGTGGAGGTGGGGCCTTACCTCTTATTTCTCATGTGACCTCAGGCTAGTCATTGAACCTGTTCTGTGCAAGTGGTTATCCTGTTCACCCTCCAGGGAGGGGTTCCTGGGAGGACCAGGTGAGAAGGTCCTAGAAAGGGCTTTAAAAATTGTTGGTGTCAGGTCTCAGTGTCTGTGCTAACACTGATGAGGAATGGGGGTGGCGACCCCCTGCCACATGCCCCAGTGAGATGTGGTGTGTGTGACCTCCGTGGTGCGCAGGCCTGGCAGACTGGGTGACCCCACCCCAACGCCCACGTTAGCACTTGTGACAGACACTCCCAGGGTCCCCCCAAACTGAGAAGCGCACTGACGAAGGTGGGGAGAGAAAATCCAAAATAAAAACTTATCTTTATTTGTTGAACATAATTTAAAACTCTAACATAAGAGTATGTCTTCATCCATCCCCAGAAATCCAGATGGCAGCTGGAAAGGACTGGTCCTTTGCTCTCATGAGGGCTCAAAGAATCACAGTCCTGTGCGACCCCGGCCCTCTGTCCGTGTCCTCTCTGAAGGCCCACCGGCCTGAGTGGACAGTCAGAGGCCGCGGCAGGCGAGCCCTGACTGGGGGGCGGCGCCAGTGCCACTTGGAAAGCTGCTGGGAAACCAGAGGTCACAATGCGTTGGAGGCCTGGTGAGGCCAAGATGGAACACCTGCTCCAGTCTCCCCAGGCACCTGGCTGGGGTGAGTGGGAGGAAGTAATGGAGAAAACTGATGCTGAACCTCATATCAGCACCCTGAACCTTGGCCCTGAAATAGCCTCGCTGGCATTGGAAGAGGTGAGAGTAGAAATAAATAAATGGGAGTGACAGGCTTCAATGAGGCAGGGGGACAGTCCCATGGAGGCACCCTGTGTCCTGGCCGGGGCAAGGGAGAGCCAGGGCACACGGGTGTAAAAACGTTGGTCTGAGGCCAGCAGTGTCACAGTGCAACACCATGGCGAAGGGACAGTGGGGGGAGTGTGGGGAGTGGCCACTTGTTGGAGGGGCTACAGTTGGGGATTCTGGCTGAGTATGGGGGGGGCTCACCCAGTGACCCCATTTTGTGTGTGTTTGTGCAAGAAGTCACAGACCTACAACTAGGGAGCCCAGTCTGCCCTCTACTGGTGATCTTTGGGAAGGACAACACAGCAGCATGGGACCTGCAACCTGAAAGGGCCAGGAGAGAACCAGCCGGGAGCAGCAGGCCTCCCTGTGGCTCCTCCTTCTCTGCTTGGCCTGTGGCAAATCCTGGGACAAGGAGGGCTCCGTGCTCACTTCAAAGGCATCGAGAAGAACTTGTTCCCAGACTTGCAGCGGACCTGCTCGGCGTGCACGCGCAGCAGCATCTCAGAGTCTTCAAACTGGTCCACCAATTCCTTAACCAGAAGCCGGGGAGGACAGTCACTCGAGGGGACTCAGGGACCCAGAGGGTGCTGCAGATGCATCCGGCCTGCTGAAACCCTCCGGGGGGAAACCGAGGGCCCCACAGGCCCTGCACTCGGTTACTGGGTCTACTCAGCTCTGCCACTTGGTGAGGTTGGTCCTACCATCCCGATGTCACGGAGGACTACAGGGATGCTCAGAGCCCTGAATTACGGAATCCAGTAAAACCAGGACTGGGACCTGGCTCTGCTGGAGCCCCAAACGGGAGCTCTCTGCCCCCGCCCCACCAACGGTCAGGCCCTGAGCAGAGGTGGCCCGTGGGCCGTTGCCTAGTGTGCACGTTTTGTCTGGCTTGCAAAATGTTTTTTTTCTTTTAAATAGAGATTGGTTGTTGCCAAGATTAGAAAACAGGGAGATTACACATAAACATCTGGATTCCTGGCTTCTCTGGAAAAACAGGAGTGGTAGCAACACGAGGCCCACATTCCTGCGAGGCCCCACTCCCCACTCTCTCCCTGACCGGGAGGCGCGGCTGCCTCTCTGCGGGCTGACGGGAAAGTGAAGTCTTTCACCACCTGTCACAGTGGAGAGAGGCTACGAAGGTGGGTGTTACTCAACTGGCACGTTTCACTCATTTCAACACCTGCCAGGCCCCCAAGGTCACCCCAGCCTTTGACCTCTGGGCAAGGGGCTAGGCCTCCAGGGAAGGCCCGCAGCGGCCTCTCAGATCCGTGTTCCAGGGCGGTGCTCCTCAAATTCTACCGTGCACACAAATCCCCAGGGCCCTGTTACAGTGCAGCTCTGAGTTCCAAGGTCTGGGTGGGGCCCCAGAGTCTGCAGCGTCACCAGGCACCCAGGTGCTGCTGCTGGCCCGGGGCTGCACTTCCAGGAGCAAGATGGTGTGTGTGAATGTGTGTGTGTGTCTCCTGCCACATTAGTGATTTCCCAGGGATGCAGGTTTGCACACCTAACCCCCAGCGTCAGTCATCTCCCCTCATACTTCCCGACACCCCCTGACCCTGGAGTTCAGCACCCTCATGCTCCTGCCCTGGGACCTCACCTGCAGCTCCTTCAGACACTGCCCTTCCAGCTGGAGCCGAGCATCGCCTACACACCAGGCCAGGCTGACGTGGAAGGAAGGGTCCTGCAGGGGAACAGCAGGGGGGCAGGTGGTTGCCCAGGTGCCACGAGGGGACCAGGCATACAGACACCTGTGACAGAGTTGTCACGGCATCCCTGATGGACCTCCGGGTGGCTCCATGGAGACTAGACCCTCCGTGTTGATCCCAAGCACCCTCTACAGGTAAATGACATAGCCCTGGGTGGGTCCTTGCTATGGCCTGAACTGGGTCTCCCCAGATTCTTATGTTGAAGCCCTGATCTCCAACGTGATGATATTTGGAGGTGGGGCCTGTGGGAGATGGGGTCAGAGGAGGTGAAGAGGGTGGAGGCCTCACGATGGAGTTTGTGCCTGTTTAAGAAGGGACACCAGACAGCCTGCTTCCTCCCTGTCTCCACCATGCAAGGGCATTGGGAGCAGACAGCTGTCTACAGGAAGGCAGAGAGTCATCGCCCAAAACGGACCATGCTGACACCTTGACCTTGGACTTCTAGGCTCCGGAACTGTGAGAAAGTGAATTGCGTCGCCTAAGCCAACCAGCCTGTGACGTTTTGTGATGGTGGCCTGTGTCTGGGGCAGGCCTGTCCTCCGAGGCTCTCCTTTATATACAGTAGCGAACCACGAAGTCTGGGGCACTCAGTCTACTCTCTGATCTAAGACAGTTCAACAGAGGACATACTTTTTAAGATGAAACAAACAAAAGCCGAAATCTCTAAAATTATGAAGAAACAATAATTGTCTCCATTCAAAGTCATGCATATATATCTCAGCATGATTTAAAAGGAATATACCCAGCAAACCAACGGCCCTTTAAAACCCTGAGCTGCCGCTTGGAGTCCGAGCACCCCCCGGAGGGCACAGGGCAAGGCCCAGGAGGGTATGTGAAGCCACACCCTTCGGGGTGTCAATTTTACTAAATAGTGGGGAAAACGGCTTCTTAAGAAATGTAAAAATAAACATGAAAACGACATGGAACAGAAGGCATTCCTCGGGGGCCCATTTATTATACACAGAAGAGAATTCTAAGAAATGCTAAGAAATGTGGGACTTCGGACACGTCGCACCTGAGAGCGTCTCAGAACGCTCCGCTCTCCAGGGGCCATGTTTCCTCTGAAGGGCGGCATTGGGGACACCTGCCAGGGAAAAGTTCTGGAGGGCTCTCCAGTCTGCCTGTCAGTGAAGGCTGGTTTTGCTCATGCCGCAGATGGGCCAGCATAGAAGAAAAGGCCCCGTGTATTACCTGGTAGAAAGTGGTGAGGTCGAAGTCCTCCATGACTCTGTCCACCTCGGACACCAGGTCCAGGAACTGGGCGTGCCCGGAGGTGACCTCGAGCCCCACGAAGGTCCTGGTGGGCGGAAGACGGGTGAGACGACAGGGGCGGGAGACGCAGCCTGGGACAGCACGGACTGTCTGTGACAGGGCCCAGGATGTGACAGACAGAAAGCAGAGCCCGCCGCACCACCCGCTGCTTTCTTCCCCGGCTCCCGGGCGGTTCGTGTTCCTGCTCTCTGCGTGGCTCGTCCACCCTCCCTGCCTCCGTCTGGAAACCTTCCTTCCTCCGCTCTAACCGCACGCCTCCCCGGGGTCTAATAACACTCGCAGGAGCACGTCCATCTGTCACTGCCGAGCCTGCAACCCGAGGCCCCTGCACCCATCTCTCCGTCATCGCTTTGGAGTCTGGCCCCTTCCTGAGGACTTGGCTCTGCAGCGCTGGCTGCACTCCCACTGGCGCTCACACATGCTCGCTCTCATCTTTAACTTTTAAAATTTATTATTTATTTTTAGAGAGAGGAGGAGGGAGGGAGAAAGAGAGGGAAACTTTGATGTAAGAAACATCAATCAGGTGCTTCTCATATGTGTCTCACTTAAGTGCCCTGACTGGGAATTGAACCAGCGACATCTGGCATGTGGGACGACACCCACCCAACTGAGACACACTGGGCAGGGCCTCTCTCACATCTTTAACAACCCTCCCTGGTGTGCTCAGTGGATGGAGCACCAGCCTGTAGATCAAAGGGTCGCTGGTTCGATTCCCAGTGAGGGCACATGCCTGGGCTGTGGGCCAGGTCCCCAGTAGGGGGCACTTGAGAGGCAACCACACAATGATGTTTCTCTCCCTCTCCTTCTCCCTTCCCCTCTCTCTGAAAATGAATAAACAAGATCTTTAAACAAAATAAGTAAAAGCCCTCCCTGGAACCCACACCCTCAGCCAGCCTCCCCCCATTCCCAGCGAAACTTCTTGTAGACGAACTGTCTGCCTCCACCCTCTAACTCCTCACCTTCCAGCCTCAGCCTGCTTTGCAGGGAACTGACCGTTCAGGCTGCCAAGGGGCTCCACATCTGGATCCGATGGACGCTTCTCCGTCCCCATCTTGGCCGATCGGTGAATCTGACACAGCCGACACCTCCCTCCCCGAAACCCTTTCCTCCCCTGGCCTCCAAGACGCCACACCCTGCACAGTCCTGGCTCGATCCCACCTCTGGCCTCCGTGCTGCCTCCTTCGCTGCCCTTATCTTTCCAACCTCTCCACGGCCAAGGGCAGCAGAGCCCCCGCTCGGTGCACGTTTCTGTTGCACCCGCACTCTCCCAGTAGTCCGACCGCACCCAGCCCCGCTTTCAATCATGCCGGCCCATGGCTCCCGAACATCCGTCCCCAGCGGCCCCCCTCCGGTGCAGCACAGTTGTGCATGTGTCATCTCCATGGGGGTCAACAGGCAGCAACGACTAATGGGCACAGAGTGGAACTTTTGTTTTCCTTCCCACCAGTGTTTCCCAGCCCAAAAAACGGGGCTATTGTTTACCCAGCTTCCCCAACTCCAAACCCAGAGTCTGCTCTGAGTCTTCCCCTTACTTCACACGGATCCAGCCCATGGCTGGTACTTCCAGTGGATTCAGTCTCTGGGACTGGGAATGTGGCCACTTCTTGGCTCCTTCACTGCCCCCCCCCACCTCATCCAGGCTGCCACAGGCCTTCGCCTGGGCAGCGCCACCTGCCTCCTCTCAGCTCTGCCTGCGTCAGCCCTGCTTCCTAACCTCTTCTCCACTCGGTAGTCACAGCCACGATCTAGTCAGGCTGATGTCTACAGTGCAGATAGGATCGGGTCTCTCCTTTGTTCGCATCCCTCCAATGGCTCCATTTCACCGAAAACCCAAACTCCTTCCCGTGACCTTGAGGACGCTGCAAGAGCTAAGCCTGCCGAACTCATCACTTGGCCCCTCCCGCCTGCTCCCCAGCTTCCACCTCTGGGCCTCCTCAGACAGGCCAAGCTCCTTGCTGCCTCAGCCACGTCACCTGCTGTGTCCTCTGCAGGGAAGTTCTCCCAGCAGCTCTTCCTCGGGTCCCCAGAAAATGCCACCTCCCTGGGCACTTCCCTCGTGCCCTCCTTGGCCACTCGCTCCTATCATTTCACATGATAGTTACGAACGACCTCATCTGCCATATCATCTGACTCCCCTGCAGAATGTGAGGTTGTTCCCCGCCCCCTGCCCCCCGCCGCAACCGGCACAGGGACCATGAGACCTTATGGCTCTAATGCTGAATGAATGAGAGCAGCAGAGATGGAAGGGACCAGCGAGCCCCCTCTCAGAAGCACCCGGAGGAGGCAGCTCAGGGCCTGGATCAGACAGGGAGGCTCACTTTGAAGCTGGGGTAATAATGGTTTCTTTCTTCTTAGGCGCATTAAAAACTTGTTCGGCCCACTGGAGCCTCCCCAGTGTCCGGTGGTGACTGTATCTGGGACACACGCGTGACGGTGTTGGAACAGGCAGCCCCAGAGGTGAAGATGTGAGCCACACGTTAAGTTGGGGCAAGAGCTGGGCAGGAACCCAGGTGACTGTTTCTCGGTTGCCGGCTTTTTTCAATACATGGTGACGTTTTGTCTGACCCTGCTCCCCCCGGCCCCCCCCACCTTCCTCTATTATTTATCTTAATGAAAGGTCCAGATTCGGGAACTTCTGTCTTTACAGTCACAGAGTTGGTTAGAACACAAAGAAACGAAAAATTCTGACAGACGAGGCCAGAGGCAAAGCAAGCTCTCAATCTTTACTCCAAAGAATCTTCTGGAAACGACAGGACCCATGGGGAACACCCACCTGGTTTTCTCCTGGTTGGTGTAAATCTTCACCCGGTTGGCAGTAAAGCAGAATCTGAAATTTAGTAGAAAAGACCACATTTCAGAAAGAATAAGGGGAAAAAATCATATTAAAAAAACAGCACTTTGAAAATATTAGTTAGCTCATTGCACACTTAGTACTGTTGCCCTGCTATACAGGTATTATGTTGAACCCTAAAATATTTGAGCTGGACAAGACCTCAAGTCATCACCCAGTCTGAGCGATGCAGTTTCATCCAGGTGCCAGGAAAATTGTGCTTTATTAATAGCCATTCATTTCATTGGACAATTTGAGACCATCTCATCTTACTGAAGGGAACTGAGAAAGCCTCCTTTATCGAGTAGGTGATAATAGATCATTTAAGGGACAACCTGTCCTTCGCAGTTTTTTTTTTTAAATAAATTTTTTTTATTGATTATGCTGTTACAGTTGTTCTATTCCCCCTTTATTCCCCTCCACCCTACCCCCCATCCCCACCATCACCCCCCCTTTAGTTTATGACCATGTGTCTCAAGTCCTTTAGATTCTATATTTCCCATGCTATTCTTGCCCCCCCCATCTATTTTCTATCTACTGTCTATGCTACTTATTTTCTGTACCTTCTCCCCCCTTCTCCTCCTCCCACTCCCCTGTTGCTAACCCTCCTTGAGATCTTCATTTCTATGTCTCCACTCCTGATCTAGCTGTCCTTTTAGTTTGCTTTCGTTTTAGGTGTGGTTGTTAATAACTGTGAGTTTGTTGTCCTTTCACTGTTCATGTTTCTTTAACTTCTTTTTCTTAGATAAGTCCCTTTAACGTTTCATATAAGGGCTTGGTGATGATGAACTCCTTGAATTTGATCTTATCTGAGAAGCACCTCATCTGTCCTTCCATTTTAAATGAAAGTTTTGCTGGATAGAGCAATCTTGGTTGTAGGTCTTTAGATTTCATGACTTGGAATACCTCTTTCCAGCCCCTTCTTGCCTGTAAGGTCTCTTCTGAGAAATCCACTGACAGTCTGATGGGGATTCCTTTGTAGGTGACTGTCCCCTTAGCTCTTGCTGCTTCTAGGATTCTCTCCTTCATTTTAATCTTGGCTAATGTAATTACGATGTGCCTTGGTGTGTTCCTTCTTGGGTCCAACTTCTTTGGTACTCTCTGAGCTTCCTGGATTTCCTGGAAGTCTATTTCCTTTGCCAGATTGGGGAAATTCTCCTTTATTATTTGTTCAAATAAGTTTTCCACTGGTGGCTGTGCCTTTCCCCCTTCTGGTACCCCTATAATTCGGATGTTGGAGCGTTTAAAGATGTCCTGGAGGTTCCTAAGACTCTCCTCATTTCTTTGAATTCTTGCTTCTTGACTCTTTTCTGTTTGGCCATTATTTGCTTTCTTCTGGTCCACTCCACTGATTTGAGACCCAGTTTCCTTTTCATTGCTATTGGTGTCCTGTGTAATTCCATTCATTTCAATTAGTTTCGCCTTCATATATTTGTCTAATTTGTCCGTATAATCAACCAGTTCTGTGAGGATCCTGATCACCAATGTTTTAAACTGTGCGTCTGTGAGTTTTGCTATTTCTTCATCGCTTAGATTTATTGGCTCTGGGGCTCTGAGATCCTCCTGCGACATTTTTGGTCTGTTCGCGCCCTTTAAGTGTGAGAAGCGGCGCCTTGGATTCCCAGGTCGCTGGGTTGTGACGCTGTATGTGGGGGCGTGGCCAGAGCGGGGAAATGGCGATCCCCTCTGCCGCTTCTCACAGCTGGGTGCGGAGGAGCAGTGCCTTAGGTGCTTCACCTGGGCCGGGCCACTCAGAGTCGCTGGGTTATGACGCTGTATGTGGAGGTGGGGTCAGAGCAGGGAAATGGCGGCGCCCTCCACTGCCGCTTGCCGTGGGGACCTGCCGGCCCGGTCCAACCGCCCACTCCCTCGCCTGTCCACCCTCCCACAAATGTGCGACCTCAGTCAACACACAGCCCCAGGCCCGGCTGTCTCCCCCGCGGTCGCTCGCCTGGTTGCTCGCTGGGTCGCTCACTAGGTCTGACCCTGCGCCTGGATTCCGCGGGCCTGAGTGTGTCTGGCCGAGTCCTCCTGTGCAACCCTGCTCCGCCAGCCGCTGGTTTCGCCCCTTACCGGTCAGGCTGAAGAATTTGTTGTTAACGGACTTCCGAAAAGTTCAATTTTCCGTGTTCTGGCTGTGTTTTCTGTTGCTAATATTTAGTTGTCTCTAAACTTGGTTGTGTGAGAAGGCACGGCACATCCACCTATGCCTCCATCTTGGCGGAAGTCTGCAGTTTTAAAAAAGACAATTCTGATTCGTTGAAGCAATGACAAGAACATTCCCCATGTGCCAGGCACTATAATTATCCCCATTTTACAGACAAAAAAACCGGAGGCTTGGTGAGACTGGATTTGATGAACCACAGTTTGAACCTCTATCTGCCTGATTCCAAAGTCCTTGCTCTTGTCTATGATGCCTTCATGGGTCTCTGTTAGTAGGAAATTAGAGCAGAAACACCTGCCCACCCACCACTGAATCAGCTTCAGCCAGGTAAGTGCTCTGACTCTGGCTGGTCCCCACAATGTTCTCTGGGACACGAGATCTCAGAGGCACAGACTGGCTTGCTGTCCTTCGTGGACTAACTTGGCAAATCCCATTATAGGGAACGATCGTCTTGTAGCCTCCACGCCAAGATATCACCCCGTCTGAGGGAACACAGCACCCCAGCATCTGTGCAAAATCAGTCAACTTTTGGCTTTCCCATCAGTTCCGCCTCCCAGGGCATCCTTTTTGGGGAAACTGTCTGGGATACTAGAGCCAGCAGGAGCTTGGTTAAACATAGAGTTTAGCAAGTGTTCTGCCAGGCGCCTGACCAACAGCCTGGTGTGGACGTTGAATGGTCGTGGGCAGCGTCAATTTTATGTGCCGACCTGGCTGGGCTAAGGGACACCCAGAGAGCTGGTGAAACATCTCTGCATGTGTCTGCGAGGGTGTTTCTGCCCTCGGGTGGTATTTGGATCGCTGGACTGAGTAAAGCAGATGGCCCTCCCCGGTGTGGTGGGCACCCCTGGCTGACACAGAACCAAAAGGCAGGGGAAAGGCAGACTCACTCTCTGTGCTTGAAGTGAGACATACATCTGGTCCTGCCCTCAATATTCAGCCCTGGCTTCTTAGGCTTCCAGGTTAATACTGGGACTGACACCATCAGTCTCCCCTCCTCTGCACTCCACCCTTAATACCCAGGCTTTGAACTTGAGCTGAATTACATCATGGACTTTTCTGGTTCTCCAGCTTGCCGATGGCAGATTGTGGGACTTTGTGACCTTCACAATTACACGGGCCAATTCCTATCATAAATCTCACATCTCTAACTGTTGATGCATCTGCATCTCTGTACCTGTACCCTGTGGGTTCGGTTCCTCTCGAGAACTCTACTGCAGATTTTGGTTGACGGTGTGTCAGAGGAGCTGAATTTTAAGGATGAGTTTTCCGAATTGGTTCTGGTGTTTCTGGGATTCTGGAGAGCCTGTGAGTCAAGTCAGACCAATCGAAGTCATTCCTGTGATAGTTGCCGAAGCTACTGGAAAAGAGAGCTGCCCTTCCAGGTGGGTAGATGGGCAGCCTGGGCACGTTGGTGGCCTTGTTTTTTGTCATGAGGATGAAGCCAACACAGATGGGGACAGAGCGGAGGGATGGAGAGGGTCAGGCGCCACCTGACAGCTTCTGACCACCCCTGTCCACCTGTGCACGGCACCAGTGCTACCTCCGAAGTTTTTAGTTCCACCAACCTATGTAAATTTCTTCTCAGTTTAAGCCACGGTGGTGTGGATTTCTGACTCCATCAAGAGAGTCCTAACTGTTACGCGTATGACTCGATACATTTGGCAGTGACGATTTGAAAAAAGGTGGCAGGGCTGGGTTAGGTGATGAGATGCGTTTTGGTCCCGATTCTCTGGCTGACTGAATGGGATCAAAGCCCTTCCTCCCATCCCCCCAGAAGGGGTCACACTCAATGGGCAGCTCCCTAGCTGAGCAGAGTAGTTCCAGGGGCTTCCTGGGCTTCAGGCCTCCTGACCCGTGGGGTGGGGCTCGGACTAGCAGATGCTGTTTCTCTCTCTCTCTCACACATCTACACATCTGGGCTTTAGTGTAACGCCTCACTTGAAGAAAGGGCTCTGCAGATAAAACCATGGGGGTGGCTTCCTAGGCTTCCTCTAGAACATCAGAGGGTCCAGAGTTTGATTTCTGGGCTCTCTCTGGTGGCTCCATCATTCAATATATATCCCAATGATGCCTACAGTGAGCAAAGCACCTGGAAAGGAGATGCGGGGAAATTCAGAGGGAAGCCGCATTCTCGGGCCTGCAGGGACTCTGGCTCCAAAGAGACATGGGACTGACTGGATATGAGGGTGAGTGAAATGAGCTCTAGGGCGTAAACAGCCATGGGATGGATGACCCCTGGGAGTGAGGGGTTCTGGGAGAAACGCCAGCTGGGAGAGCAGTGAAGGAGCAGGGCTTTGCGCTGGCCACCTTCCGGAGGAGAGGCGTTTCTGGTAGGAAGAAGATGCATGAAATAGTCAAGAAATAAAGAAGCCCTGGGTTGGCAAGTAAAACCAGAAGCAGCGTCCAGTCTAGATCCTTCACCAAGGGCCATGCTGAGGGCACGTGTGATCTCGTTCCACTTTCCCAAGTCCCCTCTGAGACAGCCACCACCCCTTCCGTGACTGGCACACAGGTGCTTGCGTGGCGGGCCTAGGTCACACAGGGTGAGGCGTAGAGCAGGCAGCTCCTGATGTTCTAACCTTTACATCTGGCCTGCTTGCTGGGGCAACACACCCCGCCCCTCCATGCCTAGGGTAGCTCAGAACCGGAAGAGGAGCCTTGGAGGGGAGAGGAGGAAGCGCAGTGGGGAGCAGGCGGCCCTCACCTCTGGCGGGAGGCCATGCGGTCTTTCAGAGCCTGCACGAAGGGAAGGATCCAGTGGTGCCGCAGAACCACGCTCTGGGACAGGCTGAGGTGGAAGGCCTCCATCCTCACCAGCCGGGGGACGTACTTCTGGGCGTGGGGCAGCACCTCGTCCAGCAGGTCCAGGAACTCTTCCCCAGCTTCATCTGGAGGGAGACAGCGAAGAGGGCGGGCCATTCTCTTAGCAAGGGTGGCATGGCTGCGTGAAGAGGCCCAGAAGGCCTTTTTCCCTCTGGGTTGTAGGAGAAAATTGCCTTGGCAGCAGCCTGTGTCTGTGTATTTTAATAATGTTTTAATATCTATTTCTCGTTATATAAGTAACACACTGATGCTCACTGTAAATAGTTCAAGTAAAAAAGACCCAGTGTGTTACTCAATCTGCCCGAACACCCTGGTGAGTAGGTGGTACAGAGAAGCATCCCCATCCTGTGGATGGGGAAACGGGGGCTCTAAGAGTTTACGTGACCTAATGCAAGACAGTAATAAGAACCACTGCTTGTTCCGTGTATTGTGCTAAGAACTTGCCATTGATTATCTGATTTAATTTTCAGCAAAATCCTAGGAGATAGGTATCGCTATCGTCCCCATTTAGAGATGAGGAAATGGAGGCTCTGGGAACTCCAGTAACTTACTAAAAGGCGCCCAGAGTAGTGGGTCGTGGAGCTAGGACTGACTCTGAAGATGGGGCGTTTACTGTTTTATGCCTGTCACTCACTTCTTAGGGTAGGAGTGGGACCAGAACCCAGCGCACCTAAGGCCCTCTTAGAAATGACATGCCACCTGCACTCTGGGATGGCCTTGACAGTCTGCCCTCACCCTCCCTTGGTCACCTCCGTATGGGCAGAGAGAGCGCTATACCTAGGGTTAATAAAAACTATTTCAGGCAACGACTTGAAAACTGAAATTAAGTTGACAGCAAAATTCCCCAATGCTTGAACCTCGTTGTCTCTGGGCTGAGTCCATCTTTCCCACCACCCACGTCAGAAACTTCTGGCTTCTTCCTCCTGGTGGGAGTCAGCTTTCTCCCACCCAGAGGCACCTAATGGTCTCGGCCACTTGCCTTTCCCACACGACTCACATGGTATGTAGACGTGGGTGGCCCAGTTGCCCCGTTCGTGGGGAAAGGTGCGCACCCGGCCCCCGTGTTTCGCGCTGTCATCTTCGGGCCCCTCCTCGATGCCTGCAAACATGTGCAGCACACTGTCCGGCACTGGCAACCTCTGGCTGGGAAGGGGGCTCCGGCCACTGCAAGGGAAAAAAGAAAATGCGCACACGTATCCCAGGGGCGTTCTCCACCTCTGTATACACAATCCAAGTTGTAACCACTGGTACAGGGTGACTCTGGGCATCCATTTCCCACCAGGTGCTGTGAGCAGCTTCTAGATAACTACAAAGCTCTTTCCCCAATGACTCTGAGAGGCAGACCTTGGCAGGGAGCATGGTCCTCAGCCGGAATTGAGCAGTCAGCAACGTGTGGTTCAGAGGTCACTTTCCTTAAAGGGGCAGGCCTGAGCTGGAGTAGCAGTGGTCTACTAGCACTGTGGTCTTAGGCCAGCTATGTGCCCTTTGTGGGCCTCAGTTTCCCCATCTGTAACGTATACTTCTACCTGATAGCGCTACTGTGAGATCAACTGAGATACTGCTTGGAAGGCACTCAGCAAGCACCAGGCCTGGCATATAAGAACCGAGGCTCCAAGAAGAGTCGTGGATGGTTTTGTTCACTGCCGAGTCCCAAAGTCCCCCCAGTGGGTGCTCAATGAATATTTATTCAGTGAATGAGAAAAGCTCTCCAACGCTTTAGCTACTCCTCTGCAACTGTGTTAAATGAGGTATTGGACCTAGGAGGTACAGTGATGCGCGTCAGGAGAAAGCCAATGGCAGAGGCTCCCCGAACCCAGGTTTCTCACCTCCTAACCCTGGCCCAGCCGGGGGTGAGGCGCACTCTGGGGCTTTGCCCAGGGGTGTCCCCTGGAACCTCATGCCCCTCCCCCTTCCCTGAGGCGCCCGCCCCGCACTGTCCCACCCTCCGAGACACTCTGATCCCACCGGGTCTCGCGTGAACCCGCACCCTCCCCAGAAAGACCCCTTTGCTCCTCACCGAGGGCGGCATCCAGTCCCCGGCAGGGCCTGAGCCCCGGCCTCGGCCTCGGCTTCATCCTCCGAGCCGCTGCTGCTGTAACCCACCAGGGGAGCAACACTCATGGGATCTCGGCGACAACTGGGCAGACCAAGTAGCAGCCACACTCTGCACCCGGAATTCCGCCGCGCCGGAAATGCCCTTCGGGGGCGGGGCCCGGGTTAGCACCGCCTCGGGGTGGGGCCGGGGCGGGCCCAGCGGGACTTAGCAAGACTACCACCTATCCAGACTACCAGTCGCTGCTCGTTGAGGGCAATTCGGAGCCTGCGGTAACCTCAGCCTCCGAAGCCCATTTCACAGATCGTCTGGAACTCTGCAGGCCCTCGGGGCAGACCTCCCAGTTACGGACGGTTCCTAAGTCAGCGCGCAGCGCACTACACAGAGCGGAGATCCCTGCCCTTCGGAGGTCCCGGAGACCCCTACTCAAGTCGGCCTAAAGTCCGAGCTCCGGGCCCCTCCCCTTAGAGCAAGCAGAGCCGTCAGAGGCGGGAACGACCCGTTCCAGAAGACCGGAGGGTCTCGGAGGCCCCTCCTCTCAGGTGCAGGGGTCGAGCCGGGGGCCGGGTCCCGGGAGCCCCCTCCCCTAAGGCCGATCAGGGTGGTCGGAAGGGGAGTCCCCTCCCTGAGTCTACTGAGGCTTGTGGGCCGAGCGAAGGGAAAGCCGCCCCACGTGTACGGCTGTTCGACCTGGCCCGGCCCGGCCCAGCCCGGCCCGGCCCGGCCTCGGGGTCCCCGGCAGGGGGCGGCCTCACTCCGCGCAGTCCCGTCCTTTCCGCAGCCGCCGCCGCCCGGCTGCCGCTCCTCCTCCGGCCCCGCCTCCCTGGCCCCCGCGCGCCCGCCTGTCCTCCGGTCTCAGCTAGGCTGTCGGTCGGTCTGCCCGCCCTCTTGGCGCTCCTCCTCCCCGAACCGCTATCCCGGCTGCGCTCATCGCTTCCTTGGTTCCGGCCGCCGCTAGCCCGTTCCCCGCCCCCTTGCCGGCCGCAGCCGCTACGCAAGGCCGAGGATTGGCAGAGAGCGTAGGCCGCGCCTTGGCCGACCGAGCCGGAATAAAGGGGCGGTGGAGAGAGCAGCGGGTCGCCACTTGCCTCGCGCCCGACGCCGCTGGCGGCCTGGAGCAGGTGAGCGGCTGGGCGTCCGGGGCCGAGTCAGGGGGCCACTCTCGCGCCCGCCGCACCCCTTCCCCGGCCGGCCCTGCGGGCCCTCTAACCCTCCGGCCCGACCCGGCGGCCTCTGCGCTCCTGGGCGGCCCAGGCCGGCCTCGAGGCGCAGCCGCTGCCCCGGCCCGGCCTACGGCCCTGGGGCCAGTGCTCGGGCTGCAACGGCCTGGCCATACCCAGCGAGTGCTGACAGGAGGCAGCTGAGCTGGGCCGGCGGGTAGTGCAGGCGGGGAGGTGATGGGCTTTCATTAGGTTTCCCAGGGAGGAGGAAGAGCTGGGGTGGGGCACAGGTGTGGGCTACCCCTTGCTTCCCTGCCCTAGTCTCTTTGCAGAGTAATCAGAGAGGCCTCACGGCTGCACGTTCCAGGAATGGGTGGGCAGTAGAGCTGGGGGCCCCTGGCCAAGGACCTTATGTTTGGCAGCCATTCATGCTGGAAAAAACAGTTGTGTTGGTGCAGCCTAACCTACACCGCCCTTGGAGTAGCCCCGCTTCCCTCTTTTCTGGGGAGGCTTTGGCACCTGCTTGCTCATGCAACCTGCTGCCTTCACCCAAAGCAACGGCGTCTTTCCTCCTTCCTGGAAGATGCGGAGGATGACAGCTTTTAGCAGAGCAATTAGAGGCCAGCCAGACTGGTTTGTGAAGGCATACCCTTCCTTCTCTTTCCCGCAGGAGAAAACTTAGAAACTTTTCAGTATTAGAGGCAGAGGAACTGGGAACCTGAAAGTGGGTTACATCTAATTCTAAAAGTTCCTCCCTCTCGCTGTCATTACCTTATGCTGCCACAAAGTGGTGAGTTAGAGATTTGCCAGGGCTGGGTGGTCTTTACCTCCACTGATTACCCAGAAAGTTACAGACTTGGAGCAAGGGAAGAGGATTAACTCCAGAAAGGTGATGAGGAGCAATGCTCTGTGGTTATTATGTTATTCCCCATGGGGCAGAGTCAGACTAAGAATTGCTTGTATCTTCCTGGGGACCTGGACACAGTTGGATCAGAGGATTTAGCACTTTTTTTTTTTGGTGCTCCAGGAGATGACTAAAGTGGGGAGGTTCTGCTGTAGCTGTTGAAACTGGGTGGGACTGTGGACCATCATGCATTGGCTCAGGTCCCTGCAAGACCATCCCACCTGTGTGTGGAGAGAGAGCAGGCACATGGTCAGGGTGGAGACGCTGGGGGGATAGTTGGGAGGGATGTGGAGGTTTTTGACATGGTCCTTTGTTCCATGCAGTTGTTTTATGTGTTGACTGATGGAGGCTGTTTGCTGTTGGGCCCTCAGATCTGGGAGGCCTGGCCTCTTCCACCCAGCAGGCTGTTCTCCTGAGCAGTGGTGTCCTGAGTTGAGGTTCAGGGCAGCGATGGGAGAGAAGCTGGCAGACCTCAGGGGGTCCCCAACCAGAGCCTTTCTGCTTTTATCTATCTCCTGTATATTGGGTTTCCAAGTAAGAATTTATTTGCAAAAAAAGTTCCGCTGCTAAAATTTTTGTTTTGGACACAGTGGCCCAGACTGGTCAGTCTTTTCTTGGAGCATCAGCAGAATTTGTGACTTCTTTGTATTGTGGGTGGGACACCCCAGCCTCTTGCCTGTGAGGCAGCTGATTAAAAAGGGTTGGCAGTATTGGGAGGCTGGGACGCCCGGGCCCAGGTGGGGTGGAGACAGCCACTGTTCCTTCGCTGGAGGAGCTGAGCCACCAGCAGGCCTCTTTGGAAGTGGGTGAAGGGGGCTGGTCTCCCAGCCCTGAGCCTTTCTCCCTTCCCGGGTTCGTGTCAATGTGGTACGTCCAGGCAGGACAGGGAGTGGAGGGCCCAGGTGCGAGTCCTTGCTCCAGTCTTATGATTTCTCTCTTCTCTACAGAACCTGTCATCGGGGAAGGCAGAGCCTCCCTGGCATTGTTGGCGCCCTGCCTCGAAGAGCCCCCTGTCTTGTAGGCAGAGCCTTGTAGTCTGTCTTGGTTAATGACTTGGGCTGTCTGACCAGTCCTTCTTCTGTGCCTTGTCCAAGGTCCTTGTCCATCCCTGATCCCAGGCACCTTCTCTCTCTGGGTTGGGTCATCTTAATCAGGGAAACTGAAGCCATTACTCTCCAAACCCTGTTTCATCTTCCCAAGTATGTCGGAAAGCTGGCAGCAGCCACCACAGACGCAGCCGCAGCAGCCGCAACCGCCGCAGCCACAGCATCATGCAGAACCACCGCCAGCCCTGGCGGAGCACTCGCTGCCCCCAGGCACGGCCGAGAACCCCTTGGGCTGCGCTGTCTATGGCATCCTGCTGCAGCCCGACCCGGGCCTACAGCCCCCACAGCACGAGCCCCTGCAGGCAGCCGGTGAGCCGGGGCCCAAGTGTGGTGTGTGCGGTCACGACCTGGCACACCTGTCCAGCCCGCACGAGCACCAGTGCCTGGCGGGCCACGACCGCTCTTTCCAGTGCACGCAGTGTCTCAAGATCTTCCACCAGGCCACTGACCTGCTGGAGCACCAGTGTGTGCAGGCCGAGCAGAAGCCTTTTGTCTGTGGCGTCTGCAAGATGGGCTTCTCACTGCTCACCTCGCTGGCCCAGCACCACAGTGCCCACACTGGCACCGGTGGCCTGGTGAAATGTTCCATCTGTGAGAAGACCTATAAGCCCGGTGAGGCGGCCGAGCCCGGGGCCACTGCTGCCCCCTCACTGCCCCCAGCGCCCCCGCCCCCTCCTGCTGTCACCCCTGCTGAACAGGCCGAGAAGCCGTACAGTTGCCCCATCTGCCAGAAGCCCTTCAAGCACCTGTCGGAGCTGTCGCGGCACGAGCGCATCCACACCGGCGAGAAGCCGTACAAGTGCACGCTGTGCGACAAGAGCTTCAGCCAGTCGTCACACCTGGTGCACCACAAGCGCACGCACAGCTCTGAGCGGCCCTACAAGTGCTCGGTCTGCGAGAAGACCTTCAAGCACCGCTCCCACCTGGTGCGCCACATGTACGCGCATTCAGGCGAGCACCACCTGTTCCGCTGCAACGTGTGCGAGCTGCACTTCAAGGAGTCGTCCGAGCTGCTGCAGCACCCGTGCACGCCCAGCGGCGAGCGGCCCTTCCGCTGCAGCGAGTGCCAGAAGGCCTTCAAGCGACCGTCGGACCTGCGGCAGCACGAGCGCACACACAGCGCCGAGCGGCCCTTCAAGTGCGACCTGTGTCCCATGGGCTTCAAGCAGCAGTATGCGCTGATGCGGCACCGGCGAACGCACAAGACCGAGGAGCCCTTCAAGTGCGGCCTGTGCGAGAAGGGCTTCGGGCAGCCCAGCCACCTGCTCTACCACCAGCATGTGCACACCCTGGAGACTCTCTTCAAGTGCCCCGTGTGCCAGAAGGGCTTCGACCAGTCAGCCGAGCTGTTGCGGCACAAGTGCCTGCCAGGCACGACCGAGCGACCCTTCAAGTGCCCGGTGTGCAACAAGGCCTATAAGCGGGCGTCGGCCCTGCAGAAGCACCAGCTGGCCCACTGCTCGCCCACCGAGAAGCCCTTGCGCTGCACCCTGTGTGAGCGCCGCTTCTTCTCGTCCTCAGAGTTTGTGCAGCACCGCTGCGACCCCGCCCGAGAGAAGCCGCTCAAGTGCCCGGACTGCGAGAAGCGCTTCAAGTACGCCTCGGACCTGCAGCGGCACCGGCGCGTGCACACTGGCGAGAAGCCCTACAAGTGCCCCAACTGCGACAAGGCCTTTAAGCAACGCGAGCATCTCAACAAGCACCAGGGCGTGCACGCCCGCGAGCAGCAGTTCAAGTGTGTGTGGTGTGGCGAGCGCTTCCTGGACGTGGCCCTGCTGCAGGAGCACAGCGCGCAGCACAGTGCCGCCGCAGCCGCCGCCGAGGGCGCCTACCAGGTAGCCGCCTGCCTGCCCTGAGTCCCTGCTGTGGCCCCTCCGGGCCAGGTCCAGCCTCCTTGTACGGAGATCCCCCACCCAGCTCCATGTTCAAAGTCCCTGGGCACGAGGACAGAAGCGCGCTGGGCAGGCAGAGGGGCCTGCCTGGAGG